TTTTCTGTAATTTATGGATTCAGAACAACGACGTCGATTGTAGGAGTTTAAACAATTTTCTTGGTCACCACGGGAAAAGTCAAACTAACTGTTAGTTTTGCAAATACGCACTGTTAATAGTAAAGTGATTATGAACAATTTCAACAAATTCCAGGCTTGTAAACGATTTTAATTTTGAAATAAAGTTTTTGTAATAAGCAATAAGGCTCTTAAAACAAGACTTTTTCTTATTTTGTCTGTATACCTACTTGTTATTATTCCTTATTTAATTAATTTTAGGGGATATTTTAATAGCAAAGATATAACATACATTAGATGTATGTAGTGTGGCAGTTAGACGTATCCTTCGATTAATTCATATTAATTAGTTCACAAAAAAGGTATTCTGATTGTACTACAATTTAAACCGATAAATTTTGGGGTGAGTTTTGAAAGACGTTTAGTTTGAAAGCAAGTAACTTAGTTTATGGAACTCAAATGTAAACGTCATAACGAATAACTAACACGCTAGAGATAAGTTAACAAGTGTTTCAGTATCTTATGAGATAACCTATAGTTCACATTTTTAGGTTATCTACAGCAATAAATTGAATTACGAAGAAGGTACTAGTGAATTGCACCATGAGGAACAAAATCGCGCCCACGCGTTTTAAAATGAAAATTTAGAGCAACGATTAATTATTGTGTTCTTTTTACATTATTATTCCTCCACAAGAATAATTAATACAAGTTTATTTATAAAATGTAAAACAAAAATATAAGAAGGCAAATAAAAGTGTTGAATCTGTCAATTATTGCCAACTAATTAAATTGCATCGACTCTATAATAAACCAACAATCATTGCAATAAACTATTACAGTATTGCTAGTAACTATGAAAACATACACGTTCAAGAAGGGTACGATAGGTGTTCTGAGGTTACATATTTTACCTGCTGTTGATTATTCATTTTGGTTTTTTGTAATTTGATTAAATTCATTTTTTGATAAATTTTCCAATTTTTTGATCAACAACGTACTGATTTCACAACAATTATATTAGTATCTTTTCAGCGACCCAATTCAAGAATCACTTGAAAAATCTAATAAAAACACTGAATTTCGTTCATCATGACTAAATTTTTTTTAAATACTATGTTATATAAAACAATATACCACGGTTACTAAACAACAATATAGTGTAAAGCCATATACCGTAGCATCGACTCAACACGAAATTTCAACAGATACAATAATTTTTTTCACTTAATCTTTATTAAAAAAAAACATTAAATCACACACCTGGTCAATATTTAAAGTGTATCCACAACAGTGCACTCAAGTTGAACACAGTACAAAACACGAAACACGCGATAAAAACAAGATGAACTACTGTATCGCACTCAATAATGAGTGGCCCGCACTCATCTAGAGTCGTCGGAGTACTGAACTACACAACTTCACTGCTCAACTACAGTAGCGCAACTTACACTCTTCTCGACATTGACACTACAGTTCTGCCCCTCCTTCCATCCCAATACAAACCTTAAACTTGACCTAGTCATCAGACAAACATGAGCGACCTTAAAGTGTTCAACGTGAAATATTATGTAAGAGGTGTGTAGAAAAAATTACTTTAATGAAAAATTAGATTTAAATTGACACTAATATTTTACCACAAACTATAAACCCACTAAACATTATACGTACGAACCTACAAAAAAATGAGAAAAATGAGCTATGTATCTAATAAATGTTTAAAAAAATATTTTAACATAGTTTTTCTTAAAAAATATTTCGACATAACAGTTGTGGAGAAAATACTACTCAAATCTAGACCACTTTAGGATTATTATTTGAAATACATTTTTATTTTCACGTTTTCAACACAATTCGGCCAAGGTAATGGTTCAATGCTAACTATAAACCCATTGAAATCTCTGCCAATTTGGACCCTGAGACGGCGTCTTCTGCCAAATAAGCGTGGTTTGTTGCGTACGTGGTTTTGATATTTTTCGCATCTTGGTTAAAATAAAAGCTGATATACAATTAATTAAATAACTTTTTTCTACATAGCTAAAATGAAATTGAACCGGTTTGCAATTTGTTTACACTAAGCATGAAATCTGAAAGAAATAATAGGAGCTTAAGTGATGGCATTACTTACAATTGTAATGCTATACTGCATTGGGTTCGAATACAATACAATACTGAGAAAAAAATCCCGATTCCACGCTAAAATGGTCGATAAAACATAGGTACATATTAAATATGATAGCAAAATGAAGGAACATGCGATTTCTCAAACTTATCGTCTGTATAACTCGTATATTAACTTTGTATAAGTTAAAGTTAATTGAAATAATTTTATTAAATAAAATAATCTTCAAACTAGTTTTACAACAATTCATGTTTATTGACCTTCATGAAAATTAGACACCTTCCGGTAAGGAGATGTTCAATATTTTAGGTATACACACTAAGTCCATTCCTAGATCAGAATGAAGTGTTAAACAGTCAAACCAACGAAATCTCCATATTGAGTGTTGAGTGTTGGAACGTCAGGGAATGGCTAGCGAGTTTACTCAAAATTAGCATAGTCCAATGTTTAATCTGTCGAAAGTCCTGACTCGGTATAAGGGTTTATCACCCAATGATCTGTGACCTGTCTTTCCTCTGACTCACAGTGTAAACACAAAACCACCCCGAGGTCGCCATCTTAGTGACGTCATCACTGAGATATTCTTACAACCTCAACCTAATTTGAGACTTCAGATGTCAAAATACACAAACGAGGTTATGTTGAGTTATGGACAGGGTTTTTAGTTTTATTTCAGATTTGACATTGATGAATAAATTTGGGTTGGAGTAGATGATACCACTAAAAGCTAATGGGAAGGTTTTCATTTGTGACTGTCTATGTCTGTGGAATTCGTAATAGAAAATTCAAAATATCCTTTAAAGGGAGTTTGGAGTAATAATTAAAAACGTGTTTAGTTACATGTGAAGAGACGTTAGCCACTAGGCTGAGAAGACGCTCAATAAAAATTGTATAGCTTTGATACTTGAATTATGTAAGCGATCCTGAGATAATTGAATAGTCATCTAACCAATGAGGAATTTTAGAGCTAGTTAAATCAAAAGTAGATTTAGTAGTATCATATTTTAAAAACAAAATTTACGAAATTCTACTAATTATTTAATTACAACTAAACCCAATCGTAAAAATCTAAAAACCCCAAATATGTCGACATTGCTACGAAAAAGTAAACAACTCGCTCATTGCAACAAAGATGTTAAAACTTTACTTTCTAATGATAGTAAAAATCGTGAAAATCTAAACGCAGACTGATAAATGGGGCTGTATGTGATTAATATGTACCCAGGTGTGTTACCGTCAGACAAATGACTGTGTTTTTGTTCTTTCGAATCCAAAGTGGAAACAAATTTAGTCGTAACAATAAAATCCCGACTTTCCTTAAAGTGGGACTTTTCCTTCATATGTAATTCGGTTTTGATAACTATTTCACGATTTTCCGGATTTCGAAAATTAATGTAGGCTATACAATTTAATTATTAGTTCAATACCTAGTTTTATTGTAATAATCATTTTATTTTAAGTCAAATTTTTATGCTTAATTTGATAAATGAATAAAAAATTTTAATATGACAATTGCGAAATTTCATAAAAACTAACTTAATCAATTTACTAACGCGTTCTTATACGTTAACAAATTAATTTCCACGGCAAACACAATTATAATTACTCATACAGTTAGTATTGTCAAAAGCATCAAATAATAGAATATGAATAGTCATGGCTTTATTAAGAGAGATTTGCAGCATTTATTTTATAAAATAAATTTTTAAGTTGAAGAAAAACAGTAAGAAAAACATTAAACAACAAAGCTAATCCGTAGAAATTATTGAAATTAAAGAAAACAGAAAATCAAAATAATTAACACCAAATAACGCCGAAAACACAAGCATTCATTGGAGAATTGATCAACGATGGGAACAATACACATACAATAACAATAACAGACAGACCTAAGATTTTGTTTAACATTTTTAAACAATGTACAAAATTTGATAAAAAACGGTTAAAAACTGACGAGAAAACCCGTTTTTATGATCCTGTTTTACATCAAGTTGACGAAAGCCTATAAAATTCCTGTGAACGTCGGGAAGTGTTTGAAATCTTTACGTGTTGCTAGGCTGAGATAGTTCGCAGCGAGCCTTGTCGGGTGTCGGAGCTGTGAATGATGGCGGGCAGTTTACACGTTATCGTTACTTTTCACTTTCAAAACATCATTTTCAAACTGTTTACAAACTTAGAAAAGCTCGATCGTATAATGAAAGGAGAGGAAGCTTAAAATAGATAATGTTTAAACATTCTGCAAAACCCATCAATCTTAGTTAAAATCATTATTAAGTACCAAAACTTGAAATGATTTTTCTATATAGAATTTGATAGTTGCTATACCCCAGCTTGATGTGGTAAAATATAGGTTTTTAAGTGTAGAGTCTTTTATAAACACACTGTACCACTGCGACCATCCATAGCTCTGCGAAACTCCCATATATTCACGTCTCCGATTACGTATCTTCAATGACATTTTTTATCAACGTAGTAGTTCACAATGGTCGACACAGTTGGACATGAAGTTCATACAAAAGTGAAATAGGTTACTTGGCATTTCCAATTAGTTTTTCATTATTACAAATAAAGGAAATGAAATATGATGGAATCTCCAATGCATGTGTCATTAAAAATAATACTGATACGGTTTACAAAAAACATTACAACCAAATTAATTTACAAATAAGAAGTTGTGTAGTTGGTCAAACATAAACAATAAGCAAGCCACTTTCTAGAGAGCCGCGGCTTGTAGTACACTGTAGTAGGACGGCATGTAGCCAAATTTACTAGTGGAAATAATTAGCACGATGTTACAAACAAAATGTCCTTAGCGATGCTAGAATATAATTTGAAAACAACAATATCGTGCTGAACCTACCTTGACATGCTGCACCGCCAGCTTGGGGTCAACGTTGTCCACGGCGTCAGCAGCGCCATCAGCCCAGGTGCTGAGCGCCTCGCTGGCCTCCCTGTATTGCCGCCACAGCTGCACAGCGTGCTGGTACCTGGTACACAGTCCCTGCAGCGAGGTGACCGTGTCTTCCCAGGCGGCCACCACCTCCGTCACCGCGGCCTCTATCTCCTTGGCCACCTCCGGGGAACACGACGACTGCAGAGGCTCGGCGGCCGACCGCAGACCTTCCAGCTGGACCTCTCGCTCACCCAGCGACTCGGACAGACCCTGTAACAGACGTGAGGTTACTGCAGAACTGTAGGGTTAGAGCATCCTTACTAGGATATTACGAACGTGTCGGCTGTAAAGTGAGAGGGGACAGGGGAAAACTGGAAATTGAGGAGCAGTTACACAAGTGCAGAAATGTAGACTGCGATAGTCCGAATACGAAGCCTGTGCGGATAGATCCTGTGGGCTCGCCACCCACTCAAATATCACGAACACGTCAGGCTGCGAAGGGAGGAACAGCAAAACACTCAAGGATTGGCAAAATGAAGACTACGAAAAACTCCAACGTGTGATGATCAGGGTGGTGCTATTTATGTTAAAAATTGTGAAATGATGCTCTGATCATAAAAAAAAACAAAAAAAACTAAGAACTGAAGGCTCTACTGGCTGCGAATTTAAATGATCGAGTTACACCAAGAAATCTGAAAAATGGTTTCACAAACTTAGAAACTGTTCGTGGATTAAGTTATTGAGCAAAAGTAGTAAGTATAAGCGAACGTCGTTTTGTATAAAAGTTGTGCACAACGGAAATACTCACAAAAAAAAATGGGCCTCAACTTATATTAACTCATATCACCATCAAAAGGACACTCTAGGAAGTATTGAATTCATTTTATGTTAAGTCTACCACCAGAGAGAGTTCAAGTTGTAAAACGCATTGAGCACACACATCATTTTACTATACAAAAATAACAGTTGTGTTAAAAGACATTTTATAGTCATAAAGATATTCACTAGGCTGGATGTAAAATATTCTAAAGAACACAAAATTCTATCAACAAAACCCTCCAACCAATGATGAAAACAAAACTTTAGTCGATTATCAATAATACGAGTTCGTCCACCTAGGGTTAACTGATAAAAGATAACAGGCGAACCCCAGTTAAAGGTAAATAACGAGCTTTTTGGCGAAATGAGTTGATAATTGACAACAAGCAATTACCGTGTATACATATTCAGTTCCAATACCTACAACGAAGACAAGGTTCAGCGTGAAAACAACAGCACGGAACAGGAAATAAGCGATGCTGGTAAAAATGTTACTAAACACAACAGGTTTTGTCTTCTATTCTAACTTCATTGAAACGTCTATAGAGCGCAATTAGCAATGGTAATTTGGTACTTTGACCTGTGCTTTGAATCGTTCCGGTGTTAGGGAACAGTGTCTGGTGTTGTGGTGTGTTTCAGAAGCTATGATGAGGGCTCTGGAGTGGGACGTGTCTGAAGTAATGGGACGTTGTCTGAAGTTGTGGAAGGTAGTTTAAAATTGTGGGCCGTTGTCTCTGAAGTTGGGGGACGTTGTCTGAAGTGGTGGGACGTGGTCTGAAGTGGTGCGACGTGGTCTGAAGTTGTGGGACGTTGTCTGAAGTTGGGGGACGTTGTCTGAAGTTGTGGGACGACGTCTGAAGTCGTGGGACATTGTCTGAAGTTTTGGAACGTAGTTTAAAATTGTGGACCGTTGTCTCTGAAGTTGTGGAACGTAGTCTGAAGTTGTGGGACGATGTCTGAAGTTGTGGGACTTAGTATGAAGTTGTGGGACGTGGCCTGAAGTTGTGGGGCATAGTCTGAAGTTGTGGGACGTAGTATGAAGTTTTGGGACGTAGTCTGAAGTTTTGGGACGTAGTCTGAAGTTGGGGGGACGTTGTATGACCCAGGAGGTCTATTGAAGTTATGTTTAGACGTTTTTGGCACTGTTAACGGTTTAAAATTATGAATATTGTCTGGTACAACGTAACGTTGTCTAGAATAATGGAAGGTTGTATGAAGTTGGAAGGTTGTGGCACGCACGGAAACCACCATCTCACACCTTCACCTTACAGACAGTTTGATACTCACTGTCCGTTACACCGTTGAGAATACATTCAGGTTCGGCGGAGCCAAGTTTTAATCTTAAAATAAACAGCTTTCAAAAGTGGTTCGTGTTCGGCCAAACCCAAGGTATTTCAGATTGTTTTGAGAAAAAGAAAAGATTGATTTTAAGATTTGTTTAGTGTTTAGAGTATTTTCCTAAACACATTTAACTTCGTCATTACATTTACCACAGCACTGTTGTCAAAATATTTACATGAACATCAACATATATTAGAAGATTTAAAAACAAATCAAACCTTAATGTAGGTAATAGGGTTTATAGAAATTACCTAACAATTATGTAAATCATTCTAATGAAAATTGAACAGAATACGCATAAACTGTAAGTAGTTAAAATATTTACATTGCATAATATTTAGGTAGATAATGAATGATTCTATCATATACTGAACCGGAGTACAATATAAAAGAGAAATACATTACCTAAAATCCAAAACCCATTGAGTTGTTAGAAACATAATTTAATAACATACACTCACACGGAAACATAGCGCTAAGAAAAATAATAGACCTACACAGAATCGAAGTAGATGAAGTCCGTTGCTGTCAGTTGATTTATCAAATCTGTAAATCTCTACAAGGTATTTACAAAAATTTATGTTTAAGACATAAATAAAGTATCTACACCAAAAGGTACACTAAGAGAAACACAGCCCTACACAAACACATTAGTGCGATCTAATCTGTGGTAGACTGCCGCTGTTGAGAGTCGTGTTATTATAGGCCTCTATTTCTGTAAGAAAACAGACGAACTAAATATAAAGTCTGGGGCTGAGAGAGATTCAAAACAACTTCAGACACTGGTAGAAAATTATTGCAATCTTATTTTAAAAGTATTATCTATATCTTCTGTATACTAAATACAAAATGGGGTTTCTCTGATACATCCCTTTTGCTTTTTCACCCGTCCTACTTAACTTACAATATTATTGAGGTGTCATTTAAAAGATAAAGTGACCTAACGCACGGACGATTGGTACCTAGGTAAAAAGTAAACTTCCTACAAGAATTCGCCCCCTAGCCTTTGATATATTTATACTATTTATAGAATGTGTTTGAAAAGGTAATTTTCATAATTTTTTAAGGCTAACTTTTTAAGTGATAATTTTTTATTTAGTAGCTGTTACCTTCAGTTGAACTTTAACCACAGCCAGAATGTAAACAAGAGACGAAAAAGATAATAAATATTAGTTTTGATTTATTAGTAGTTTTTCATTTAATAATTAATTATTGCCATATAGCAAACACATAATTTTTTATACAATGGAGTTTTTATTAAACGGCAATTTTCAGTTACGAAGTTATCTGTAAAAGGAAAAATAGGCTAGTATTGAATTACCAATTATATCTCAGAAACGAGCTTTGAAGCCTACTGTACTAAAATGACAATTTGTCTACGGCTCTCCAAGTATTTATTTTTAAAACAGCTCATTTATTGCTGAAGATAATAAAACAACGCAACACTCGAATATATTTTCAAGCTTACAGCTCATATCTTACACGCCTTTATATCCAATGGTTGAGAGAAATGATTGTTTGATTAGTCCCTAAGAAACGATGGATAACTTTACAATTAGGGCCAAAGTAAAATCTGCAGAAAATCTCAACAAAGAACGCTCCGTTATCGACGTGAGTACTACATCAGATAGTGAAGTGAATGTCAAGGTAGTTTCAAGTTCTAAATTGCTCTGCGTATCTAACCAACAATGAGGCAATTTCTTCTGGATCAGTTAGAGGAAATTTCCAGTCTCCACAATGGATCGTCAGGATGATATGGATACAAATTTAAAACCAGTTTCTAAAGCAACAGAATGTGTGTGGGTAGCAAAAATGTTTTACTTTTATCGTTAACCAGGGATTGATAGGCTTTATCGTAAATAGATCTTACGCGTCTCAGAAGTAGTGTAACAGTTTTTTCTAAATCCAGTAACACTGCTAAGAGTCTGTAAGTTGAGTTACTTGGTATTCAGAGTATAACGATAAAATGAGCAAATTATACGGGGCCACCCCGATCTTTTAAAACTCATGTTAATATTGCAATTATAATACTTTGCTGCTGTTTGATACCAGCACTTGCACTTGCGCTTACGATACAAAAAAACGACAAAGGAAGAAAATTGTCACAAAAACGCGTTTAACTAATCTTACTAAAATTTTAGCTAGTCAAACGAGTGAAAATGTATTCCAACGTAAAAATACAATAGAAATTTGGATCGGTAGGTTGTTAGGTCGTGAAAAGGGGTCTTAATAACAGTAGTGTCCTATTTGGGTAAGCAGAATCTAACCAGAGAGTGGAAAATGTGCAACTGCTCAGGCACTTTACGATATCTTAAGATGGAAACTACTTTTCACAACTGTTTCCACGAAACAATTAAAAAAGTCACAAATTACGATCTGGTCATTGAGCTAACGAAATAACTGTAAACTTTGGCTCCAACTGTAGACTTTATTATTATCGTACACTTTAATCGAACATTCAGAATTCAGACCGTTCAATTACAATAGGATGCCATGTTATGCGTAACATATGTTTTGTTTTAGATTGAAAGTTACTATAACATTGATAGGCTGAAAACTACAAAAATAAAATAACTGTGGTGCAGAAAACGATACTAACACAGCATACGATTGCAAATATCAATGTAAATGTGCAATTTTCACAACATAAATAGACCAACACCAATTAAATGTATACTTACGTAATGTATTCTTATGGTACAATGTTACAAGTTGTAAAGAAAGTACGGAGTTTCATATAATCAGTACATAGCAGACGACACAACGAAAACCGACTTGAGTCAATACCGGCACACTATGGTATTGATAAAGTGATAACAAGCTGGACGACCTATGTATCATCAACCAGTGATGCCAGACGTACCAGAATTATCGTGCACGCACGAGTATTTTATTTTTAATTCATTTTAACTGAGTTTTTATGGTGCTAAAGTAATTTATGCTTCTCAAATCATCGTTGCTGATTTATAAACTTCAGCATAAAGTATTTATAAACTTGATTTATAAGGTATTTAAGCTCTAGAATAGTAATCCGGAAGGCAACACGTCAGAAATAAATAATTATTATGATTCCTAAAATAAAAGTAAAAAGTTTGAAATTTTAAGCTTTT